AAACAGTTGCTGAGTGAAAACGGTTATCCAGAAAGTTTATTGAAAAGAATATGAATCTAAAATCAAAGCAGCCCAAGGTGCCAGCAGTTCTTGAGAAGGCTTTATTCCTACAAAATCAGTTCCCTGGAGACAACATCAGCGAGATACTAACACTACGCCTAAGAAAAGCGGTAGATAAAGCATTCCCTGCTACTGAATTACGCTGTCTTCAAAACCACCCCTATTTCGCGTTCGGGAGTAAAAGACAAACGGCCTAATTTCGCCTCTTCCATGTGTATCTACCAATTTTACTGCTCCTGTGAAGCCAGTTACATAGGCAGTAAAATTAGGCGTGTTTCTAGTCAGATCTTCGAACATCACCCTGCGTGGACAAACAAAATCTATTCGTTGCGCTATTCTATCCGATCTTGTGGATAGAGAACACAAGATTAATGTCAACGAGGCTTTTAAAGTCATTTACCGCACACCAACAAATCTTAACTTCGTCTGAAGAGTTCATTTACTAAATATTGCTGAGGCTGGCCGTTGGGGTCCACATTAAGAAGCATAATTTATGTGTCTAAAAGAAGCCAGCTCAGACACTGTCCTTACTTTGGCCACCTAGGTTTGAATGATCCTCAGTTTTTTTGTAGAAATTTCCCTAATTTTTGTTGATATTCTGTTTGCTACTATATATTTTTTTATTTCTTTAATTTAAGCATCTTTATTTAAAAACCACTAATATTGTTATTGACGACTTTTATAGAATATTCTATGTATTGAAATACATATATATATATATATATATATATATATATATAATTGTAGAGCCAGAAGAGGAAATTATCGAAAAGGATATTCTTTGCTCTCTTATTTTGTTTTTTTATAGATGTCTGAATGAGTATTTTAGTTATAATGCAGTTTTGCTACCATGAATGTACATATCTGTGCCCATCAACCAGAAACGTTATTCATGCTGTTTTTCCAATAAAGACTTTGTATATTTAGTCATACACGTAGTTTTGTTTACTTTGAGCCTATGAAGCCACTCACTGACCTTTACCATTTGACAACATTATATCACATCTCATGACTTCGATGAAAATGTAGGTGATATAGTGACACGCTGTTATTAGGTGCAAGACAAGAATTTTTCAAAGTTATTATCTCACAGATCTTCACTGAAATGGAAGGTAACATTCAAACAGAGAAATTCAAAATCCGAAATTCCGGCTTCAGTTAAAACAGTAATAGGAAGAGAGATTTTCTCCAAATTTTTTTTTGATACACAATGAGAGAAACATCATTTAAGACTCGAAATCTAATTTTCAAGTGTTTCAGGTAAAGAGGATATCTGAAGTAGTTTACAAGGAAATATGAGCAGAAAGGATCATCCCTACTCAAGGAAAAATATTTTCATTCTGTTACCATTCATTGGTGTTCGAGTTTGTAGTTTTCATATTATATTCAACCGTATTCTTAAACTAAAGGGTGCTTTTGGAAGCGACTAGTAAGGTAAAACAAAGAGAAAAGTGAGCTATAGACTTTCTGAATGAGTTCCAAAAACCATATGTGCTTAAAAAGTAGAAACATGTCTTAATGCAGCCATCAGGAGTCTTATGAAAATAACTAGTATTTCGTGATATTTCAAAATGCAGATTTGATTTTCCTGAAGCGACTGGTCCATCTCTTGATTTCATGAGTTAACGTTTCAAGACCTAGCACCCACGTACTATTCCAATCACGTCACTTATTATTTGTTTATGTTTATAATTGGTCTTATTCTGATCATTTGATGGGTAGACCATTAAACGCATTGACTGATCACTGGAAAGTATTCATTGTTATATTATTTATTCCCTAATGTTGACTTAAGGTTATATTTCAAGTTTGCAATGTAGTAACCAAGTTTGGAGCCTTACTGTAGCGGTGCACTTTGAATTGATATTAGACGGTTAGTAGAAATCTACAGGAAATCCAGAACGTAGCTGGTGTGCCTACTTTAATCGTTAATAAAGAATCCCCTCGAACTTGCATAACCCAGTACTGCAATCAGAGACATTGCCACTGAGCCATTCATGTGCTACTCATCTCTTGTAGGAAATTGCCTAGGCAGTGGGAAGTAGCCAGTTTTACGCTTTTCTCTTCTGAATTGTCACGGACAAAATTATGCAGTAGTCTAATTAATTAATTAATCGGCAAAGTGTTTTCCATTGTTATATGCTACAAATGTGTTTAACTTCACAACTAATATCGAAACTCACAATAATTTACATATATTCGCATTAGAATTCCCCGCTACTTCAAACATTTCATTTTAATGAATTCACAAACTCTGATTTTGTAAGCTAGACTACAATGTAACGGCATCGCTTTCGTTACCAAAACTTAGTGAACGTGTATCAAATTTAAATCCTTTCCTTAAGAAAAAATCAACTTATGAGATTTATTGTTTACAAACTTATACAGACACAATGCTTATTTAAAGTTATGACCAACCTGATATTAAAGAGTTTTTGTGTCTGCCGAGAATTTAAAATGTTTATAAGTTATATTTTGTATGCAACATACGTATCGGCATTCGACGAGCTCAGACACTTTTTTCATGGACTTAGTAATATTTTCTATTATTTCAAAGAAAATGCCAGTCAGGTTATATTACTCCTCCGAAATGCATATATTTATATGAATGAAAAACTTTATAAACAACTTAAAGCAATTGGGTCACATACTCCCCGGCTTTATGGCCTTCCCAAGATCCAAAAAACTGGGAACCCACTGAGACCCATCTTAGACATATCGAATTCTCCATACCATAAAATCGCCAAATGGATTACAGAGGTCCTTAAGCCTGTAAGAGACTCATTATCAAATCATTCTCTAAGAAGCTCATTTGATCTGACCAATATGCGAGACACCTTGAACATTGAGGAAAAGGTTATGTATTCAGTTGACAAAGAATCTTTATTCACCAATGTTCCCCTTAATGAAACTGTTGATTTCATTTGCGATTATATCACAAGCAATGGGATAAATTTACCTATTCCTGTAACTTGCATCAGAGACATCATCTTAATGTGTACAGAAAATATTAGATTCACCTTCCAAGAAAAGGCACACAAAAAAATCGATGGTGTTGCAATGAGGAGAACTCTTGGGCCCCTGTTAGCAGATATATTCATATCGAAATTGGAGAGACAAATTCAAGGTATGCTTGGAGAATTTATGCTGTATAAACGTTATGTAGATGATAATAATAATGGTAATAATAGTAAATCTATTGAAAAATTTATTACCCTATTTAATCATATTCATCCAAATATCCGAGTGACTTCCTAACTAGAATCGAATAACAAACTCGGTTTCCTGGATATTACTATGACTAGGAGAGATGATGGAACGATTCAACGATCTATTTTTTGTAAGTAGACATGGAGTGGACAATATCTTCATTTTATCAGTTTTGTTCCTATCCAGTATAAACGTTCCCTAGTGAAATGTTTGTTCTCAAAGGCCCGAAAAATATGTACGTGTGACACTTTGATGGAGGAATTTCGACATGTACATTCAGTTTTATTAGCTAATGGTTATCCGGACAACTATATCACTTGTCACAGTAAAGAAAAACCACACCTCGAAAAGATAGCTTCTGTACCAAAGAAAGCTATCTTTATCAGCCTACCATTCAAGGGCGACCAGATTATGCAGTTGATAGCTAAAAGACTTCGGTCAGCGATCGAACACACATTCTACTCTGCGTCTCTTTTTCTCATTTGCCGAAAATTTTCGATCCCTGTACCTACGATTAGAAGACGAAATACTGTGGACTCTCCTTCAAACTGTATCTACAAGTTAACCTGCAGCTACGGTGACACCTATATAGATAGAACCAACAGAATGTTCCAATGTCGTCAAAAAGAACATGTTCCAAAATGGCTAGTAAATCAAATCGAAAATCCTAACGCGATTAATCTGAATAGAAATCCAGAATCATCCATTGCAAAACACTTATTAATGTCAGGTCATAAAATCAATGTTAATGCCTGTTTCACAATTATTTTACATAACTCAAATTCAAGGTTATTGAAGGTGATGGAAGCACTTTGGATTAATCGCATACAGCCTAAACTGTGTGTACAAAAATCAATAGACTTCAATCTTCGTCTACCCTGGACAACATGACCTATCTAAATATGATTGGTCATTAGTATGTACTTTTGTTTTATTATTTAACTGAGTAATTGTCATGAACTTTATTTTATTATTGTTAACCATGTTAGTTGTAAAGCAGTTGTAAAGCGACTACGAACTGATATCATCTCGTGAAATTTGTCTTCTTAATGCCTTATTCAAATATATTTATATATCAGTGGACTCAAGTTTTATAATGTGAGAACCACAAACAGACTTGTTTTTGGAAGTTCTGCAGAAAATGCAGCTGAGGGAGTATTTAGAGACAGCAAGTTTATCTGTAGGCTGACATAGAGATTTCCATTTTCCTTCGTTCTCTTCATTTCATCAGTCATGCTAATGTACGCAATATCACTAAAAATTCTACTTATAACTTTGGAACGAATTAATGCTCATTTGACTATGATTTGCTTGCACTCTTTATAATGGCTTAGAATTCTTATAACACTTAAATGATTTTGACTGCTATATAACTAAATGCTCTGAATGAGTTTACACTTCTAAAAATGTCCTCTGTGAGTTGAATTTAGACATTTTAGATATCAAAATGTCATTTAAGAAAATATAGAATTATGGATAATACAAAAGAAACATCAACTGTTCACTCTTTAAATCTAATTAATCGAAATTCTTCTTCTCTTGCCTTATTTATGTTTACCTAGAGTGATTTCCCAGTCAATTTCCCTCAATATGATAACCAGAAAGATCGTGATAGATCAATGTAGATCGTTCATTATCCGTAAAATTGATATTTCTAGGCATTCTTCATGGTTCATATCAACCATAGAATAAAGTATGAACTGCATACTGAATTAAGGTAACAGCTAGAATGAATTTCAAATGAATTTATTGAAATCTGCCGAAAAGCTTTGCGTTTATAACAATGAAAAGAATAGAATAAATAAATGTTCGACTGAAATTGATTCTCGATGTTGAGTTGCATAATTTGCTTTTACAGCAGTAAATTTTAGCATCTGACCTTGGCGGTACTTTAGTACAAGACTCCGTGCACAGTCTGTCTATGCGTTTTTCAGGACCATCAAACACATATTTCTAGATTGATAAAATGAAGAAAATCATTTATATGTGAGATAATTTAAAAAAAGGCAAAGTTTAAGAATGGAGTCCCAAGAGATGCGAACGCACAATGACCTTGAGCCGACCAATCAGAAAATAGGAGGAATTTTGCATAAAATTTAACGTATATTTACAAAAAATGCATGAAAAAAAACATTAAACGGATTATATTTCTCTTATGTGACTTAAAAATACGTTCCAGTTGCGATGAAGAGTATCAGTTGCTAATTTGGACTAGTTTCTGTAGATGTAATCACCAAAGAGACTGAAGGTGTGCTGTTTTGGGAATGGTTCATCTCTCTTCTCTTGCTGTGTAGTCCTCTCCTCAGCCCTCGGTTTAGTTACTATGGTTCCAGTAAGATCATTGGCGACTACATACAAGAGAAATAAGGATTACAAACGAACTTGGGACCCTATTCTTAAACTTCGCCTAAAAAAATATTTAAGGCAAAATATGAACTTGGCTTTTTATAAAATAACCATCTAAATGAATCTATTTAGATCACTCTGAACATACGTGCTTGGTGTACGTATTCTGTCGACAACAGTGCCTAGTTTGGTGCTACTTGTGCATGCTTTTTGACAATATCAACAAAAGTTTGGACACCAGTCAAGACAGGAAAGGTACTGTAATGAAATGAGCCATTTTTGGATCCCATACTTCTTCTTCAGTCATTTTTTAAAATAGAATTTTAGTCCTGGTAGATGAAAAGATACTAAATCACGTGACCACCTTACATTTATCGTCTCCATACTAATGAATCATTCGCGCATTAGTTCATGTGGGAAAATTTAATCTTCACAGGATTCCTACTGAATAAAATTTGTCTTTATGTAGTATAAATAAGAAATTTTCATACTATGATTACGTCCTGTGTTTTCAAATTCTGTAGTTACGTGAAAGTACTGTATACAACCGAATATTGGTTTAAAGTTATTCGAAAAATCTGAACTCAAACATTTTCCACTCCATTATGAAGTGTATACTAGAAGCACTTTTCTAACAATTACTCATTTGATACTGGTATTTCATATGGCCATCTTGTACTCAAAGATCAGATGTCACTTTCAGTTGAAAAATCTTACGTGACGCAAAACGTAGTACGTTGCGAGGAATCAAAATGCCTTAAAATTATATTTCAAGATGAGTCCAATGACAGAAACATTTTGACATACATGCTGTAGTAGCTAATTTTTGTGAGCAGGTAGTATCTAAAACACCGAGAAACAATGTACTCATTTCAAGAATAATAAGACCTATTTTTCGGTGGAGACTAGGAAGATTTACAGATAAATACTATCGAGAGTTTCCAACAGTTGGTTTGTAAGGAATAGATCTATTTTTATGAGTTGATCACGGATTGATATCAGTTAGAGAACCATTGAAAACCAGGTCATACGAGTTTGCTTTGTAACCGGGAGGTCCTTGGATTCGAACCCCATTGGGTGCGTAATGCTGTTGATTCCCAAACCGGGATGAAACAACTCTCCAGTACTCTAACTGATACCAGTCCGTGATCAACTCGTAAAATCTATCGAGAGTAAAGTTTATATAATATTCTTATTATACTTATACCTACTGAAACTTACTTATAATACTCTTAGAACAAATAACATTATATCAAACAGTAAACTTTTACAATATTATTTGAAATTATGATGAAATATTCACGAATATAAGTATTGTCATCTTACAAGACAAGCTCCACATTTATGTTGTTTGTAAGTATGCTTATCAACCTTTTTACAATTCATGCATTGATAGCAATCGAAACTATGCTCTGAAATAGAATCCAAAAACCAGAAGTGGATCATTTCTTTTACAATCTAATGATTTTCAGAAATTATTTGAATGTCAAAAGACTTAACAAATGCTTATACAGAGAATAAAATCAAGTGTACTTATCACTTTAAATTATCTTACAATAGTGTTTTCAATAAGAAAGTAACTTTTCGTTCGACAACTACACATTCTAAAAAGTTTTTTAATGAATTCATGCCATCTGTGTAAATATTAAGAGGTTATGTTTACTTTTGAAATATGCACGTGTAATCCAGAAGCAAACATCATTCTATAAGGATAAGACGTAATATTTTATACTTTACGATTCAAAAGGCTTGAGTGTGCCCAATCTTCATTGATATGCATATATGAGTTCTATGTGCCTGTGCTCATGAATGAACATTTGTCATCGACAATGACCATATTGAGTTATACACTCGTGTTACAGACTTCATCATTGTTCTACTGTTATTGGTTAGTTACCATCGGAAAGTTACAATAACTGTAAGTCTGATCACCATTGAATTTCACTTCCTACTGACAGAAATGAACATTAATTCATGTTTGAAATGTAACAGCAATAGCTCAAATGTGTGCGTCGGTGGCACAGTGGTTAGGACTCTCGCCGACCATGCATATGGTCCGGGGTTTGAGCCCACGCCGGCGCACACCTGATATCTATGGTCGGCCTGCAAAATTTGGGCTACCGATATCCATGCTGAAAATTCCATACTTGTACCAAAAAATACAGTGTGGAATCAAGCTGTAAATCGAAAATAAAAAAAAATAAAAAAAAAGAACTGAACTCTAAGACTAATATTTAAACGAAATAATGCCTAACATGGCTAGCATATATTCCAGCCTCTATAAAGTGAGGTTCACCCATTTATACTAGTGTCATTATTACTCAATATCTCACTTAACGAACATATCACACCATTTCGAGAATACTAATATTTCATTTTCCAATTTATACAACGACAATGAATATGAAATAAAAGTTTCACTCACTTGATGCAGCTATCGAGTCGACTATCACTGATGGAAGAATCATTGTCATCAACATCCTGGAAACAATCATTTCCATCTTGTGATTTCAGCCTAACAAATGGTCTCTGCCTACTGCCTTTGCACTTTTATACTTTTTTTTTAGTTTAACTGAGTTATCTAAATTTACAGTGGTGTTCATGTTGATACAAAAGCATAGACAGTATGATTTGAACAGAATTTTCAATATCAAGATATTTGTCAGCAAGAGTGTTATGAAACTGTGACAACATGAACATGTAAAAACAGTGTTATGATTGATGAAAATAATTTAAGCAAATAATGTCAGATTTTGTCATTTCTTATAAGCTAAATACTTCATTTTGTTATCAGATAGATGACTAATCCGTTCTACGAACAAATGTTTTGAACATGGAGTTGGTTAGGTAATTGATTCCAATATTGGAAATATCAATGTAACTGCTCTTATGACGTCCATGTTAAATAGTACTTAATTCATTTTATATTTTTCCATCGATTGATTAGACCAAAGTGTTCACTTTCACGCTGACATGTCGGCTCCTTGTGCAGATGCTTCAACAATGTTTAGTCGTGTAACTTGAAGTCAGTTGGTAGATGGTGACTAGCAGTGGAACCAAGGATACACATTTCGTCCTATTCGGGACCCACCAGCCGGATGTGCCTACATTCCCCAGTGAGTGATGGTGTTCCCACCGAGGCTTGAACTCATTGTCTGTAGTTTCAAACGCCAAAGTTAGTCACCATCAACCAAGTGACTTCAAGTTACATGACCAGACATCGTCGAAGCACCTGCACAAAGAGCTGACATGCCAACCTGAGAACGAATGCTTTGCTCCAATCAATCGACGGAAAAATCTAAGTTGAATTAAATGATTAGTAAGACCCGCTGCACAAGAAGTGGCTCTCGCTGCCCAAGTGGTCCAGTGGATAATGCTTTGGCGTTTGAAACTATGGGCACTAGGTTCCAGCTTCCAGTAGAACACCATCACCCATTGGGAATGCAGGCACATTGAGCTGGTGAGTCCCAAATAGGACGAAATGTGCATCGTGGCTTCCAGTGCTAATCATCGTCAACCAATCGACTTAAACAGATACTTCTGTAAATCACTTTGAAAAGCTAAACTTATGGATTACCGCATTCTAACTCATCTAATCTGTAACTATTGTGGATATTCTCTGCTGGTGCCATGTAAGCTTATCAGTGAATCATACCAAGCTAAGGCAACACAGGGATCTCGTGCTAATTAGTTTCGATAATTCTTTATATGGAGGCAAAATTCACAGTAATATATCTATGACTTGAACACTATAACACCTTAATTGAATTCGTGAACACTGCTAGCATAATTGTAAACAGACTGTTTTGAAGATTTGGCTAAAGAGTTCTATAAATATTGGGAACTGGGCGAGAAGTGGATATGTATGAGAATTATGATTTTATAAGTCTCAGAGAAACTGAAATAAATAATCCTAACGTTTCCTTTGGAAAAATCGTCTGAACTTCATGAAAATAACCAAGGTTGAAATATCAATGACGCATACAACAGCAAGCATCTAGTCTTTAAAATTCTTGTCCATCCATGTTTGAGTCATAAATAGTCATTAAAAAAAATAAATAGAACCTTTCTGTGGAAGCTGAACCCTATCCAAATCGATAATTTGACCTGCTATTATGGAATGTGATGTAATTGCTGATCTATTTTCTAGCTTTTGGAACTGTCTCTAGGGATCGTCAATGTTCTTTCGTTGTTACATTTGCCTACCTGGAAGTTTATCCCACACAAACAGCACCATAGTCCCAACATTTTTATTTTGTATACTCAATTTTATTGGTTATAGCATTCTAGTATATTCTTAGTCTTTACCAGTGACAAGCGTGAGGAGTTGGTTACGCGAAAATGCACTCTTGTCTAACGATTGTTAAGGATTCTTTTCATTTCCTCTGACGTTTGTTAGCCATAAGAAATCACCTCACTGGTAATCCAATTAATAGCAGAAGATTCTGATATAACCTTGTTTTCACTTGTCCGAAACCAGATTCGCCGAATATAAGCAAAAGCACACAGCATGCATTAAAACAACTACAGAAAGGTAGATCTATTGTCATTACATGAACTAATAATATCATTTTCAGTGATGTTATGAATTCTATAGATTATGAGAAAGACAAGATTCCAAAGTTGACTATTTTAGTGTGTATTCACTGATTCACTTGGTCATGTGGAGTAAAATTCATAGGCCATATCGAAAGGAGAATGCAGAAAAGTCAACAACTCAATTCTGCAGCACATTATTACTTCTGGTCACGAAGCATGAGCAGAAATTTCATTCAGATTTATACATAGAGCAAGATCAAGCCTTGCACGGGAATTTTAGTCACATCTTCTTTACGCAGCTAAAACTTATGCAATCTATAAGAAAAACTGGAATTTTGAGTTTATAGACTTTTTATCTAGCCAGTTTTATCACAGTGGCCTGAGTATCAATGGTATTTTTCTAAATTGTTAAATACTAAACTCTGTGGATTCTCTTTATTTTTTAATTTTACCATTTGTAGTCCATTTTCAGTCATTTCTTCTCTTACTTCCTAGGAAATATTTCCATACAGTTAGTTGTCAGCTCTTTTGACTGCATAAGATTATTAACTATTTGGTTGGAGGATTTCATCATGAGCTGATGTCAGTCAAAGAACCATTGAAAAACCGGCTAGGAGGACTGGGCAGATGTTTCATCAGTCTAGTTTTCGAGTTTTCAGCAGTACGCACCAACCGCCAGGATTTGAACCCAGGACCTTCTGGTTACAAGGCCGGCGAACTCGTAAACCATTAGGCTACTGAAACCACACCCAATGGCCCATGAACTCTAACTTCTGCCAATTCATGACATAGTGCAATGTCTTCTTCAATGAGTTACTGCCTCACCTTCAACCTCCTGCACCCTACTGGTCACGGCTTCCCATTAAAACCCCAGGTTAACTGCTTGAATAGGGCCAGTCACTAGTGAGCATCAGATTAATTTTCAAGTACTGGTTGGGTTCGAACCCTGGGGGATGCGTACTGATGAAGAGGCCCAAACTAGGACGAAACAGCTGTCCAGTACTTCCAGGATTTTCAATGGTTCTCTAACTGGTGTTAGTTCATGATAAAATCCTCCAACCAATCAAAAAAAATTCCCTACAAAACCAATACTTGAATGTTAATTATTTATCGAATACTATTTGTTTACTGCCTTAACATTAACCTCTGACCTTTGTTGTCAACTAACATTGTACGTATAAACGTATAAGTAACTGTACAGCTTGAAGAGGAGTCACAAAAAAGAGTTTTCTTTGATGACTTAGGCGTTCTTAATACGCTTCAGTCATATTATTTCAGGTTTTATCTTCTATGTGTGCATTGTGTCCTTCCTTTTACAGTCGAGGTTGACAACATATCTTGCTGAAAAAGGCCCAAAATCAAGAAGGGAAAAAACCAACATCATGAATAAAACAAACTGCATCCATCACGAAAAACATTGTATTAGTCATCTTCTCATACATGAATATAAACTAGCAGTTAAATACCATGACACACATTTGGGCATATCGTATCACAAGGACAATTACCGACCAGGAATTCGATTGGGGTATATTGAAGCCTTAGACGGAGAACTAATAGAGGCTTGGTACTTAGACCAATTCTGAATTAACAAACATGTTAATAACGGCAATAGTGAATAGAGAATTACTCACTTCAGCCAAAAATTGAACATAGAGTCAGTGAGAGAACCAATCATGAGAAAGTTTCTGGGGAAACCGATTACACTCAGGGTTATCACAGAAAAGGGATATCTCATCTTTGGTGAATTCCAAAGTCTCACTACACAGTGAGGCTGACAATAACGGTGTTGTCCAAAGGAACAATGAGAATTTCGCAATTAACCCTTCCAGCTCATACAACACAACACAACACGTAAAATATATCTGCCTAATAGGCACAAGTAAAATGGAACGAAGAAAAGGATGCAAAATACTTTCACTACATTTTGATGCTGTGCAAAATGTATGTAGGATTGCAAATGCCTTTCTCTCCAATTAGTCTACGAGACTTTAATTTAATAATTTATTAAAAACCTGACAAAACTGTATCAAGCACAGAATTCTATTTTAAGAACATTGTAAATACCACTGTCAAACTCTGAGGAGATAGTCTGAAGGTAAAAATAATAAATAGTCCTGGAACATTCCATCGAATCTGTTTATTTCTGTAATTGCACTCTCTATTTTATAGAATGATATGAATATTTATTCAAAAAATCGTAAATCGAAGACACTATGGAAGGATATCTTTAAAAACTTAATAATACTAATCATGTTAATTTGTTAATCAATGCGAAATATTTATTTAGAGGAGTAAGAGAGGTGGGAATAACTGCACAAATCGAAACCAGTGAATTTGTAGAGGTTGGCAACAGGCTGTCAAATAACTTTTTTCTGGGTAAGATAATGTGAATCTGGAGGAATCGATGGGTGAATTAGTTATCAGTGACGCAAGAAAACCAAGATATGAGCAGGTCATCTGAATGGCCTAAAATAGCAGTAAAAACACGGTAATAATAGTTATAGTGTCAGACGACAGTCACAAGGATTAGAAAAAATATAAACTGCATGATTTTGTGAATATTACGTGGATGGTCACAGGAAAGAAAGCGGCTGTACCAATTTCTTTCCGGATACACATATTTTACGTAGTTATACACCAAGTGTAGCTGTCACCCCAGGAGCAGTTTAACTGCAAAATACACATCGAAGAGGTAAATCTGCTCATTTAGTCTTTATTTAGCTGACTCAGTATTTAGAAATCACTTTTTGTTGTCTGGTGATTAGATGATATAGCATGGCTGTGTTAGAAGATTTTTTGAAGGCTCTTTTCATACTTTGTAATATTGTTTTATCATTAACATCTCCAGTAAGTATTTTCATCCCGGCTATGCTACAAAATATACATTTGTTATCGCCTGATACTACCATGTTAATATTATTTATGTTACTTTTCGCTTGAGTACCGAGTGGATCGTAGGACTTCAGCGACACATCTCAACAAACGATAACTCATAATCTATCATCTATTCCTCCCCAACACACCATTTCCTCTATGTCTCCATCGCTTCCCATTTGAATTCCACAACAGCAATAGCTTGCATTCAACGCAATTTCGTTTGACGGCCTCCTCAATGTGCGCCCAATCCATCTCCATTTTTTCCTACATATTCGTTGATCAGTCGGTTGTTGGTGGGCTTACTGCAATAGTTTTTTGTTGCTAATTCTTTCTGGCCTGATATTTGATCTTCACTATGGATTCAGCGAAGGCAGCTGTCGATTAAAGGCTGCATTGCCTATTGGAAATGCTTTTTGTGACATGCAGTGCAAGTTTCAGATCCATATAGAAGAAGTGCCGACTGACTTCACATTTGTGTTGAAAATACGAATCTTGTTCTTTATGCTGGCTGAGTGCAGAAGATTTCCATAATAATTTCTGGTTCACAATGGTGTATCTTGTCTGTCTGATTCTGGTCAGCTGTGACACCTTGATCCGTGCCATCCACCTATGGCTGAAACGATGGTCCCTAGATAAGTGAAGGAGGTAAACTCTGTCAGATCTCTTCTTTTGATAGTGACTGGTGCTGGTTGTTGTTTCTGTTGCTGTTAACTGGTTATCATCGTCACCTCCGTCTTGTCTATGTTCACCTGAAGTCGTATTTTCTCTGCTTCCCTCTTCTGTCAGTTTATTGGTTTTCACCTGCAAGTCTCCAAGTTTTTGTGACATTAAATATAAATCATCCACTTGCGAAATCCAGATGTTCTAGAGTATTCTCATCATTTCAACCTGTTCTCTTCTCCTCGCTCCCCACATTATGACGCATAATCACGTCAACCACAATTATGAATACCATCAGTGATAACAGGCAGACAGTTTTGTCTTATTACTGTATTCACTTCAAACGCCTTGCTGAATTTTATATCGGGGATCATCTGACACATGATCACCACCATGTTACTCGTATTATTTAATATATTATTTTAGAACTATATGTCAGTACACCTCTGTTGATTAGGTACTAACTGAAGACAAATACATTTCTTCACTCAAACTAGTTTTTTGATCAAATGCGTCACCGCGAATTTTTAAATTCAAATTCTAGGTTCTGTAGGAATTTAGATTATTTTAAAAAAATGTAGATTTTGTCACACACCAGCAGTATTTACAGAACTACTGAATACCAAGAAAAGCAGATGCCTATGGAAGGCATTGATTAGGGGTAGCTTTATGTCGCCAAATGAGAGAAATTAGAATTCATAGTTTACTGTACGGTCAACAGGAAAGCATCATAACCGTAAGGTCTTGGGTTCATTCACTAATTTGGTTATGGATAAACAGTGCTAGAGAGTCTGAAATTGGGAGAGAACAGATGCCCAGTGCTCATCTGTCTTCAGTGATTCACCAGATGATCATGACGAAATATACAATGAAGTTTCTAAATTAGTGGATCTGTAGCTATAGAGTCTATTGAACATTTTGCTGAAAACTGTTATTCGCTCTAACTGTTCTTTTTCTAAATTAATTAGAAGGATGTTCAAATTACTGATATCTTTTGGGTTTTTCTTAGGGATATCTCTGACGAAACAGCAATTAACCATTATTTTCCATGCCACATGTATCTTGTTTACTGACTTCAGATTTCATATCACTTCTGAAAAAATACTCCATTTCGCCTACTAAATGTTACATTTACATCATCGGAATTCAGTACTCTGACTTCAGCTTTGTCTCTAACTCATTTGAACTTCAGCTGTCATACATGCATCAGGCATGTAAATGTACTCCTCTAAATTGGTGCTCAAGATCAGGGGTGCACGAAAGAGATGAGTATTTTTTGTAGTAGATATAAGTCTATTGAGAACTTTAGACAATCCATAGAATGTAAGCGTATCTGTACTTCCAACATATTTTAGTGGAATACTCACTGTCCAAAAATGCCTTTTTTTACTTTTAATGATAAATTGTTTATTTATAGTGAGATTAAATTATTTCAGCGTTTAATGAAAATAAAAACATGTAGTTCAGCGAAGAGTTTCTTTTCAGAGAATGCATTCACTTAACCGTATAATCGCAATTATATATGATTATTTTTGCATGTGTGTCTCTATAAGGTTTGTCCAGTAAGAATAGGGAAAGAAACATATCTTGTTTCAAAAAAGATACTTAACATGAATATGGATTTTAGTGGAGACTTAGATTGTGATATCCTCAAGAGGAGAATTTCAGCATCTTTGAAGAGAACATGCTTCATTGCAACGTTAAGGGTAGTGTTCTCCAGTTGTCCAGTGATCTGCAGAAGCCTTAAGGACAAGATCTCGCATCTGGCCACTTCTATATGCATATTTTGACTCAACTGTTGCTGTGGAGCTAGGTATATTAGTCGTTTGACGCGTATCCTGTATAAAAGGGTTAAAGAACACTATGCCGCATGCCTGTTCAAAGGTATTAGTGGCTTTATAAGGAGTGCGATAATCAAAAATTTCGTGAACACTGGTCATTCTGTCTCAACAAACGCCTCCTTCGAAGTGATCTACAAAGGGGAGAATAGCCTACTAAATGCAATACGCTTTCGTCTCCTTTGTACCGCTTAAATCTTAACCATTCTTTTGAAGAAACCAGAGTTATGCATACAAACAAAAATCATCCAACCATTCCTATTATCGTGGTAACAACCGTGCTGACTTCGACTCACTTGATTTTATGTGCTTTTTTCTAACTCCTTATAACATTTGTAAGTTTTAAAACTCTTACTTAGTTCCATATTTTCCTTTGTTTCTATATGCATCACAACCCATTTATCAAACAATTCATCTTAATACGTAACCGCATTACGCTTATTCAACTTCTTTTATGTGTTAACTAATACGTCTTCTGACAACATATCACAACTAACCTTTTACTAATCTTCACCTCCCCCTAGTTACAGTTTGATTACTCATCACATGTTTGAAATATCTTGATAAGAATAACTCTAACTTATTTTTGTTCTTATCGGACAAACCCAATGTACACACACATGCAAAAGTAAGTATATATATAATTGCGATTGTACAGCTAAGTGAATCCATTCGCTGAAAAGGGACTCTTCTCTGAATTACGTGTTTTGTTTTCATTAATTTCTAGATCTAACGAGAATCAGTGCTTTCAACGTTGCGTTGGTGGGACAGCGGTTAGGACGCTCGCCAACTATGTACATGGTCCGGGGTTCGATACCCGGTCGATGCACTCCTTCACCTCGATAAGACAGTAGCAAGACTGGTAAAGAGGGAAAGTTGGGCATGAGGCTAGTAACCCATCCAGTAAAAATAAACACCACTGCTACCGAAACTTCAAGCCTCTAGCTTGAAGCCCTATGTTCCACTGGGAACGTGAAGGAATTTAAAAAAATGTCTAGATGGGGATTACTCATGAATTTCACTGTTCATTTCGCTTACACACATACTTTCTACCAATACAATTTAATCTAGATAAAGCAATAAGAAGACGTAATTTGTCCGAATCCTGTAATGTATTTGCGCAGCACACTTCGAACAATCTGATCACACACCCTAGGAATATATATGAAATGAATAAAGAGGTAAGAGGTGAGAAAATAGACTTAGGTCAAGTTAAAAGGACATATTGAAGGTCAAGATAACAATGAAGACCACTAAACCAAATAGGGGAGGTAATAGTACATCTGCACTGGCTGGTATCAAAACAAAGTTTACCAATGAAGGTGGTTTAGTGTGATGACTTTTTATGCAGCTAATATCATAATAATAGCGAATATAAAGCCATTATATCTATCTAAGTCCTTCGAACATGCAAAAAATGACGTCACATCCCACTGTATTCATCAATTTGAATGTACATGTACACACACATACATAGGGAGGACTCATCGATCTCTGCGAGTAAGGGCTTTAAAGCAAAGTTCAAATGGCTTCAGAAGCAAACAGAATCCCCAGGACCCATTAATGGTGAGAACAGGAGACCCAGCTCCTCTATCACCAAACATATTATAGAGACAGGATATAAAATTGATGTTTACATGTCTTCTAAACCTCTCTGTAGAACGTGTTTCGGGCGTATCCTAAAGTTTGTGAAAGCTTTAGTTGGCAATTAGGAAGTTTAAACCACCTTTTTGATTTCAAAAACAATTCGTCATCACACTAAACCACCTTCATTGGTAAAATTTGTTTTGATACCAGCCAGTGCAGATGTACTATTACCTCCCCTATTTGGTTTAGTGGTCTTCATTGTTATCTTGACCTTCAATATGTCCTTTTAACTTGACCTAAGTCTATTTTCTCACCTCTTACCTCTTTATCAACTTCATATATATATATTCCTATGATAAGTCCATGTGTGATCAGATTGTTCGAAATGTGTTGCGCAAATACATTACAGGATTCGGACAAATTACGTCTTCTTATTGCTTTATCTAAATTCATAAAGGGAACTAATTGTTTAAAAAATTTAATTTGTCTAGGATGAATATAGCACTAAACGTCGTTAGAATTCTATAATTATTTCTTAACTACGTTACATTGTTCATTCAAAACACAAAGTTACAAATACGAATCGAAAAGTGAGACCAATTCACATACTGAATATTAACTAGCAGAATAATCGTTACACCGTCAAAATATTCATAAAATTATAATATCACAAAAAACAGAACCGTTTCCATAGTAATTTCATGCTAATCAATCTGAGAATTGAGTGTGAGGATAGGCTCACATATCAATATTCCGTGTTGTATGCAACCGACTACAATACTGTTACTTCTTAGTATGAAAAAAACTGAATGTGTGGTTAAGCCGTTTTCGGAAATAGAAGAATAAAAAGTATAAAAGGCTTATGGTCGTTTAAACAGGAACTATCTTAGGTGAACGGATTTACATTAATGTTAGCTGTTTTAGTATTTTTCTCATTGTTATCAAATCTGGAGGTTGTGTCAGGTAATTCAGTTTGCTCCCACTGTCATATATAACCAATATTTAACTAAAGAGAATATGTTTTTATTGTACTCAATATTTGTTGACATAAGTCATGAGAATAACGGTTGGTGAATTAGACCAGCTAACTTCACCACTATTTAGTCTATTTCAGCTACATAAGCTGAGGTTTATTTTGAAGCATTGGAGGAAACCTTTCGAATTCTTACGAGTTGATCATGGATTGATATCAGTTAGAGTACTATTGAAAACAAGCATGGAATACTGGACAGCTGTTTCATCCTAGTTTGGGAATCATCGCGGCAGTAGGCACCCATTGGGGTTCGAGTTCTGGTAAACGGGTGAATAGATATAATCTGATGTTAAAAGTGGTGATATACAAAGATCCACTTCTAGACTTTTATTTACGCCTGGTAAAGTAATCGGTGCCAAAGAAGAATGCTCACCAGCCGACACACCCTTAATCTCCTCGCCTACTTTATTAGCCATTGATAAGCCCCTGAAAGAGACGAATGTTTGGGCGTGTGGTTAGCGACTTCGTCCTATTAAAAAAATACCACTGCTACTGGAACGTTAAGGCACTTCAAGTTTGAAGCCATGTGTTCCATTTGGAAACCAAAAAGAATAAGAAAATATCTCAACTAATTACCTTTGAATGTAAAACAAACGAAAAAGGAATCGTCACAGTCCTTCTTCGCAATTTTCTTAACTAAGCCATGTTATTGGATTTTAGGTGCTAATCTCACATGTTACACATGCAAAGATTGTGAACAAATCGATAAAGACACAGAGAGAACATCAGGATGTGGTTCTTGTCTAGTAAGATTAAAAATTCCATACTGAAATGCATTTTGTACATATATTTTACATAAAATCAAGTGGTTGTTTGCTCTTATTGTTTCATATTTTCACAGGTATCTTTTAAACTTATCATAAATTTTGTTTTCATGTGAATAGCTTAAACAAAACATTAGTCTGTTTCTTTCACAACCGTGTTATATCTTGTGTAAAGGCTTTTAGTCTTGATACGTCAGAATTCCATAATTGTAAAAATAAATGCAAAAAATGGTAGGGACTCGTCAGTACACCTTCAGAGTACATCTAGAAACAATATTTCACAATGATAAGGCTCTTTTTCGTAAAAAGAAAGCTCTCCTGGAAATCAGAAGGTTCTGTCACAGAAACTCAAGTAAACATCACTCTGATAATAGCTATGAATAGTATTTTGTGTTTAGAGCATATAATTGTTGTTTGGTGCATCTAATTTATAAAAAGATATCGGATCACCAAACTATATGAAACGAGTTTTCTTCAAATAAGATTCAATAGGTGTTTTACCATGCAAACTTTGAAAGCCGATTAATAATTTGACGTCATTGTACATCATATCCTACAGCTTTGGTGCATCAGTAGTTAAGTGATTGAATACTATCGATCCACTCAGTAGGTTCGGGTTCAATTTCTGGCTGATGTGCATCTAAATCTCATCTAGCTGGTGGTAGAGAGGCTGGAAACCTCCTCCAGTAAAAACAATACTAATGCTAATGAAACCTCAAAGACTGAATCTCGAAGACTTATATTCCACCTTGAAAGCATCGAATTTAAAAACATGTCCCAGTGTTTGAACCACGTCCATTTTACGAGTAGAAAAAAGTATGAAATTTATTCTCTAGAAAAGAAACAAATGTAATGTCTGATCTCTTTGGCTGATATACTATACAACACCCAAAACTCTTACATCTGAGCTGTTTGAGACAGAGAGAGTTTATTTTAACTTGTGTTTTTAATATAGCGAAAATATCCACTTAGGTATTTAGAAAAGAAACTGAGGAAAGATTATCCTTTTCAATAATTTACTCTTCTGACTCTACAATTGTATGTATATGTTTACATACACAAAATATTCTAGAATAATCGTCATTAACAATAATCATGTATTTAAATACTGTTCATTTATTAAGTAAGATCAATGGAATTACAGCTCAGGAAAGACTCTTAAGTTTAAGTAAGCCTAAAAATGGAATAGCCAATTGAATATCAAATGAAATTAAGGGAATCTCTGCAGAAAATTAAGGATCATTAAAACCTTGATGGCCAAGGTAAGGAAAGCATCTGAACTAACTTCTTTTAGATAAGTACATTAAGTTTATTAATGTGGATCTCAACAGCCAGCCTCAGGAATATTGAGTAGGCGAACTCTTAAGGTGAAGTTAAGATTGGTTGAATTGAGGTAGATAACTTTGAAAGCCTGGTTAATATCAGTCTTCTTCTTTTAGAATACTCTGTATGTCTATACATATATAAATTGTAGAGGCAGAAGAGGAAATTATCGAAAAGGATATTCACTGCTCAATTTCTTTTATGCCTTTAATTTTATTAGTTTTAAATTAGACCAAATTCCCATGAGTGAGCATTTTCTTCTTATTTTCACTATTTAGAAGTCCATTTCTTATTCGCCTGATAGACATGTGATGAGATCATGTGAGCTGCTCTGTGAACTTATACAGCCTTTAGAAGGTGTTGAGTTTTACTGTTGTGAAACTGACTTATGCAATTCAACCGCCAAAGTCAATAAAAATCGCCTGTTTATTTTTTCTGTTCTTTTTGTTTTAATGATAAATAACATTATATCTTACTTAATAAATGTTTATGAAAGTTATTGAAGATAAAAATACGCATATATTTTGATTTTTTTATTGCACCAAAACTTTAATTGCTCTTATTTCTGTAAGTTCCCTTTATACCTATTGCATTAACAATTGTTCCTTTGCGGATTAATAATTTCATAACAGCTTCATGTTGTAAGATTATTTTGTTAACACTTGTAAAACAGGTCAGTGAAATAAATTTGCATTGTAATATCATGTGTTCACTTTTGCCGACTGAGCAGACAAGTTATCTAACTAATAAACTTTGGGCGATTGAGTATGATTCCTTCATTTCTTATCTGGCATTCCATCTGTAATGAAGAAGTTTAGTCATAATGGATAGTTATTATTATGCTACTCTATTATTATTACTATTATTGTTTCCTCTATTTCCTAGAGGAACATAGGGCTTTAGCCGCACGTCCCCATTGCGTTCGGCTCTCCGACAACATTTTCACCTGGCTCCACGTCTGCCCACATGCTTTCATCTCCCCTTCACAAGGCCTCCCCCACGTCACTATGGCACTGACGACCAACTCGCCGCTTCTCATTCGGGTTCCACGCAAGCAGTGGCTTGGCGTGTGATGTCACTTCATGGTTTTCTCAGAGTATGGCCGCCAATCCACTTCCATTTCTTCTTGCATATTTGTAGCACAATTGGTTCTTGCTGGGTTGGTTAGTTCATTGCCAGAGATCCCTGTTGCTGATCTTTTCTGGCCGGCCATCTGATTTTGAGAAGTACTGAGTGGAGACAGCTGATGATGAAGGTCAATAGTTTGTTTGAGGTGCACTTCGGGACGCGCTGAGTCTCTAATCCGTACAGAAAGTAGCTTTGGCTTCACATTGGAGTTGAAAATCCGGATCTTATTTTTCATGCTAAGGTGTGCTGTTGACCTCAACATAGACTTGAGAGTAATAAAAGTTTCCCTTGCTACTCTGCATATTATAAATTAGCCAGACATTCTGATAGCGGATTGTGAAAAATAATATCCTAAAATGAAAGCTTTTGTTCAAATAGGTGTGGTGATTATCAAGTGATACCAGATTGCGGAATAAGTTACTAAGAATAGTTTGACTACAAATACCAACAAACTGAAGGTTTTGAAAATCAGACACTTAATTTATAGAGAAGAAATCTGGATCTGGACGAATTCACATGTGAAAAATGTCTTTCTAGACGACATCTTCAGCTGAAGATTCATTATGAAATGAACTTATTTGAATTCCTCATGAATGATATAATTGTATCTCCTGATGGCCATTGTTGTGATTAGTTGTTAATTTATATTGGTCATATCTATTAATCTAGAATTTCAACTTTATTGTCTTCTGATTTATTTTTTATTAGTCTTTAGATTTTATCTGTAGTAATGTATATGATCATATTAGATGGTTGTAGGCTCTTGAAAGGGAGCCTTCGACTTATATTTCGTGCTAGTTGGCACTCACCAGTCAACAAGGCTTATATGCAACCTTGAAGGACCTCATGTCTTTTCTGAGATTCGAACCCATGTCACCCAGTGCTTTAGTCAGAGATTTTATCACAAAACTATTCGGGCTGACTGATAGAATTCAGTCTTCACCAAAGAAAGGACTTTACACAATACACTAGTTACAAGTGTTCAATCAAAGTAATCTCTGATTCATTTGAGTACTAGGCTTCTAGATACTCCTTGACCTTTTTTAGTGTTTATTCTTTCTCTAAAATTTCTATATTCTCCTGAATGATGTCAGTAGTTGTTTACGTGCTTCGACATGAAAGAATACATGTTATGTCTTTTCACAGCTAATTTATGTTGTTGGATGCTGACTCGAAAAGGGTGCCCATTTTGACCAATATGGTGTTTATTGCAGTCTATGCAATTTATTTTTTAAATGGTACTAATTTTATCTTCCTCTGATGTCCTATCCTTTGATCTGCACTATATTGGATAAAGTGACTGTGTTGGCTGGCTTGTGTGCTATGTCTATTGCGGGTAGTCTTAATATTCTAGTCGTTATTTCAGAGGTATTTCTTCACATATATGGTAGGTGGGACTAATTCTCTTGTGGCCTTTGAGGATAATTTCTTGTTGGTGTTTCGATTTGAGTTTAGACATTTTTTGATGAAATTGTATGGATGTTCATTTTTCTTGAAGACAGTTAGTAGATATGTCTCTTCTATTCTCTTCAGCAGTGTGGAGTGCAACAGTGGTGTGTTTGAACTATTTTATGCAATATCTGCAGACAGTTTCTTTTGTGAACCCATTGGGTTATCGCTGTTATAGTTGAGAATTTTTTCTGTGTTAGTTCTCTTGATTAAGACATCTAAGGATGGAATTTTGTGGTCTGATTCTTCTTCTTTTGTGGATTTAATGTGTCATCATCACATATGTTATTGATTAATTGATGGGTATATTCCAAATCATTTCTTTTAATTATTACGAATGTAACATCAACATAATGTACCCAGACTTTTGGTCTGATTATGTGTAAGGCTATTTATTCTAATCTATTCAAATAATGGGTAACATTCACATCATCTGTGTTATACTTATCACGAAAACAAGTTCCGAAGTTATGCGGTTTCAGTTGATTTGATTATGAACAATAAACTTTGTTAGAAACATCATCCACGAAATAATACCGTTTTTCTGTATAATGTATGTAATAAACAAATTAATATGGAGTTACATACTACTGAAGTGTCTGCCTTTTACGCACACGTTAGCTTTATTTGATTCTATCGACACAAATAAAACCGGTTTTCTAAATTTAATATTTAATCTCGGTTTTGGTCACGAAGTAAAATCGATCTGAGAAGAACTGAAGAGTTCCACAATGAGACGAAACAACTGTCCAGTACACCCTGGTTTTCCAATGGTTCTCTAAGTGATATCATCTTGAAATCTAGCTTGAAGTTAATCAAATATCTGTAAACTGATACATGAAAACTAATATTTGCACTTTACTGCCACCATCAATCGCGTATGTTTCTGTGCATGAAGTTCCTTGACTATGCCAGAGTATAATTCGATAATAAAATTATTTAATTTGGTTATATCACAATGATACAGTATTCCTTATTTCATCAGAGAATAAAAATGATGAAATGGTCTGAAGTAAACTGCTATTATGAAAGCATGTTCACGTGAAAGTGGGTGTCAAACGTGAAGCAGAAAAGTAGATTATCCGCGGAGAATCAAGACGATAACTATCTACTATAAATATCCTAAGCTATGGATCAGTTTTGCCGTGAATAGTTCTTAATACTACCTTACAGCTTATCAGGGGCATTTAAAATTCTGCTTAAATGTATCATCAGGGTTTGAGATCACCTGAAATGTCATGATGGTGCATAAAATACCATCAAATTAACTATTGACAATTTCCATTTGGAAGTTAGATATGTGGACGACATCTTTATTATCTGTGATGACGGTTACGATCTCAATCAATTACCGCAAATAGACAACAAATGCCATCCAGCCACAAAGTTCATCCTAGAAATTGGAAACGAATCTAAAATTCCTTTTCTTGATGTTGAACCTACAAGGAGAGCTGACGAAACTTTAAGAAGGTCCATCCATAAGAAACTCACATGGAACGGTCAACTGACAAGCTTCTATAGCCGGGTAACAATCAGTATAAAAAGAAACCTAATTAGATCACTTGCCACTCGCACCAGAAGCATCTGAAGCTCTGACACCATGGAAGAAGAACTAAACTTCCTGAAAGAAATCTTCATACAAAACGGTTACCCATCAAGATTCGTAGACAAAAACATCAAACAAAAAAATTCCAAAAGCAAGAGACACCATCTGTGCCAAAAAAGATACTTTATATGAAACTCGACTTCAAAGAATACCTACTCAGTGACGTCCTCAGAAGAAGAATTTCCCCCTTTTTAAGAAGAATATTGAGAGTAGTGTTCTCTAGTCGCCCTCTGATCTACAGAAGCCCAAAGGACAAGATCCCGCACCTGACCACTTCTGTGTGTATATATCAGTTCACCTGTGCCAGGTACATCGGTTGTTCAACGCTCATCTTGTGAAAAAGGGTTAAAGAACACTATCCAGCGAGGCTGCAGGAAGGAAGTGGTAGCCGTATAAGGAGTGCAATAATCGAACATCTCGTCAACACTGGTCATTCCATCTGAACAAACGCCTCCTTCAAAGTAATCTACAAAGTGAAGAACAAACTTCTAAAGATAATACGATTCCATCTTCTTTGCATCACAGAAGCCCTAGCCATCCAGTTGGAGGAACCAGAACTGTACATGCAAAAGAAAATTATCCAACCACTTCCACTCGCATGGTAACAACTCTATCGATTTGACTTAACTTTTGTTTGTATGCTTATTTTCCTAACTACTTAAAACCTTTGTGTAATTCTGTATATTATTTTGTTTCCAGGTAAACTGAGCACAACTCTTTCATCAGACTATTTACGCCATCACAGAACTCTTATTTAGAAATCATTTATGACAACTCATCACTTTTGTTACTACCCTCTTATATCAACATCCAATTCATCTGAACTTACTAATTGTATTTTCGTTTGACAAATTTAATGTATACACACATACAAAACAACCATATATATTTGAGATTGTACAGCTATGAAAATGAATTCGCCGAAAAGAGACTTTGCTGAACTACTGGTCTTTTGTCTATTAGAATACCATGGTTAACTGGATATTAAATTTATTACAAACCTTGGAAATTCACTATCAACGCGATCACAAGCCTTTATTTAATACACCACAATAAACAGTCGTGGAATTTGTATTGAATGAAAAAATCTGAGTTTATTAATAATAAAATGCTGGAAATTAATAAACAAGTCGCATGTAGGTTTCACCAAAATTATTTCCACTCTTTCAGTAAAACGTTAAAACTGACCATGAGCTCTGATTGTTGTATATGTAAAGTTCACAGAGGAAGTCATTGGCTGTATTTCTCCAATGGTCGTTCTTAGGATTTACTATTTTGCAGTGTACACATATTAAAGTACTACAATATTTCATTAGCACATTTCATAAACTCCATTATAATTGCACACTGGTAGCATTTCAGCTCTTCACTTGAAATGCTCTTTTATTGTTATTATTATTGCATCCTTTATTTCCTAGAGGAAAATAGGGCTTCAGCTGCGCATCTCCATTGCCTTCGGTTTTCTGCCAACTTTTCACTCCACTCCAAGTCTGCCCACATGCTTTCATCTCCTCTTCACA